TTATTCTTTGGATCGGGAATTAAAGTAGATTCAATAAAAAACTTATTTGTATATAAATAATGAAGAAAAAAACTTCGTAAAAACCTACTACACGATTAAGACAACGGTATCTTTGTGCTTTCAATCATTATTTGGATAGAAACCAAACAAAGTAGATAATTTTGGTCCATGTTTGTGGGGGAATACACTATGTGAATAGTGAATACCAACAACTTTACTATACAAACTAAGAAAAGCCAATAAAAATATTCTCTCTCTACTTTCCATCTCTTTCGGTTACACTCAACAGAAGACAATCTTTTAACATCAAGCTAGGGAAAAGGTTGAGTCAGCTCCCATATCTCCAAAAATACTGTTCATCTGGTCTGACCTCTGCCCAATCAAATTCTGCCAATTTTGCATGAAACCGTTAAATAATTAACCCTTCAATTCGTCATATATCAAATTTAACTTTGAGACTCTCCGTCAAGCTTTAAATATACAAATGAGAAAGTACTGAGGTGAGGATTTGAGACATCGTACTAACCATAATCTGGCCCTGATGTAATTTTATATTCACGACGTCTTTTATGAAATGATGTCTAGGGTTTCTTTCAGTTGTTAAAACTATGAGTTTCTAAAGCAAACTTTGACACCGACTTTGAATATAAATTCTTTTTCTTTTAGTTTTTTCATCACTTGATGTGTCTCTTATAATTAAGTAAGGGTTTGTTTGTAAATATTTTAAAAATAATTGAAAGAGTTTTGAGTGAAAATGTTTTTTTAATCAATTTTTAGTAGAAATGCAAGAGTGAAACCTAAAAAAAAATTTGGAGTGTTTTCTACAAGAAGTACATAACTGGTGTTTCTTACAAAAAGTGTTTCAAGTGTTTTTGGAAATCAAAAATATTTTCTCTAAAAATATTTTTGATCATTTTAAAAGTACTTACAAATAAGACGTAACTTACTAGCTAGATATAGCTTACTAGCTAGATATAGCTAGTGGAAGACAGATTGAGGGATCCTCTGGAAAGACCCTTTAATTAGGTTCCTTTCACAATCCAATTCACCCATGATACCATCCAAATATAATAATATCTCTTACTACTTTTATAAAGTATAAAGTAATCAAGATTATGGGAAGCACTCCTACGTGAATGGTCGGAAAATGCTATCGCACTCGATGGGATAAAGTAATGTTTTGCATCAAACAGCACTCGGACACAAGAAAACAAACCCATTTGGAAAGCATTGCACATGCCATGCATATTCATAATTGGTAGCAAGTGATAAGATCAATTAAGTGATGAAAAATGTGGCTCCTACGCACCCACCGCATTGTTCGTGAGCTTTTTGTGCATCTCCTGCACGTCCTGTATATACTGAAAATTAACACAAGAAGTTCTAGATAAGTACATGAATTTGCAAGCTCCTATAAATCATGTACAAATTGGGATAGGATTGGGACAGATCAAAGAGTTAAAACCAAAACGTGTACATGTATGGAGGCAAAAGATATCGCATTTTGCAATTATGCCCTCCCATGGGATTTATGTGAATTAATTTGGAATGTAGCTTTTGGACCATTAGATCATTTCAGTGGTTGCGATGTGAATTAAATTTAATGTCTATTGGACAGAGACCCTTCCTCTATCCAATAATTCCATGGATTAGGTATAAAATTGCAAGTTGTGGATGGCCGACATTAGAGATTTAAGGTGTTTTGGGTGTTGGTAAAAGCTTTCAACTGGCACTATTTCTGTATAATGTTGCAAGAAAAAAAAAATATTACTGTCACAACATAGTTACATTCACTTTATGTCATCTACATATCAATAATATATCTAAATAATATCGATACAGTGAAATTATTTGTTACGGTACATAATATGCTATTTGAGAAAAGTGTGACAGCAACAGTGGCATTTGAGAGAGAATTACCCAGTTAGTAAAATTTCGGTACGAGTCATGTCATTAGTGGAAAAAGGAAAAAAAGGGTAAGAAAGTAAAAAGCAGAAGGAAAAAACCAAAATGGAGTTTTTTTTAGTGCATTCTTGATCAGGATGTTTATTGGAACTAAGATGGTTTAGGACCATTTAGCGGTTGGAAAATATACATTTGAAGGTCTTTCATTATTCATTCTTTAATCTATTCCTATAAAATTGAGTTATTTTTTGTGGGTTTCAATTAGCTATTTAGTTATAGTAGACGTTTAAGACTTCTTTTTATTTTGAACAAATGATATTATCTATACAAAGATGAGAGGGGATGAGCTTAGCCTTAGAATGGGCTAGCAATAATGTGCCTCAAATTCGTCTTTGACGAAAATCAAACCTAAGAGCTCTTACTTACAGGTGAAGAGAAATACCATTAAACCGTAGTACTATTAGCAGCAGATATTTAAGACTTGATTTTGAAAGGTTGAACATAATTATTTTATTTGGAAATGGAGTAAGAAAGTTTGGGAATCTTATTCCTGGTTCAAAACTATGACTATTGACTATTGCCTGGGAAATTAATGTACCAAAAAACTCGATCCCCTTAGGTCACGCCATATCATACTCAATCACGTTAAACTCTTTCTCTAAACAGCAGTTTTGGTGGCAGTCTTTGCTTGACTTAATTAGCCATTTCTCTATACAGTCACGTCGCCTTCATCTTCTTCGTAAACTTATCGGCACTTTTCTTTTCGGTGTTAGAAGATGTCTCAAGTTTTCAATCCCTTCTCGGTTTCAATTCTGTAAAGTCGCATATCTGGCTGTATCACATGAGCTATGAAGTTATGAACATGATCACGTTGTGAAATTCCTACAAAGCTTGCGTGTTGCAAATGAAAAAGGTAATCAGCACTATTAGCATTTTTTCACGACCACCAACGATAACATTTGTGACATCAACCAATGAAAATTCATTGTACAAGAAGATTTTCTAATATGACGGGCTAGTTATGTCATGCTTAGAAAATTCTAGGGTTTGTGAGAGCATGTGTTATCAATTATATCATCAATGTGATGAATGTGATATCAATAATGGTCAATGTTTGTATTTATTTTGTACTAAGTACTTTATGCATGGGTGGGTGTTGACACATCTATGGCACCAATTCTTTTACATAATTTCTTACACACGTTTTTATGGGGCTCACTTCGCAATATATTTTAACGATCTGAACTATCTATTTTTTATAATATCATTCATTTATCACCTTTGCAAAAAATTAGACAAATCCAAACCATTAAGACATTCATTTGTATTGAAAAAAAAGAGATGAATCCGATTTTACAAAGAAATCATAAGCTCTTAATCCAACGGTCATATAATTTCAGATTTGGGTGATTGTTGATAGACATAACCTTTGAGGGAAGACCTAAAAGATAAACGGTTTATATTATTGAAATACATTACAAAATGGATCCCATAAAAACGTGTGTCAAAAAATATGTAAAAAATATAGTGCCACAAATCTGTCCCTACACTTATATAAATTATAATGTGTGTTCTGGTTTGTAAGTTGTTGAAAAAAAAAAAGCAAAAAAAGGGAAAATAATTGGTGGCTTTGAGTATTGAATTTTGATCAACAAGGATATTGACCATGACTTCACCAAATCGTGACATACTAACTGATTTGTTGTAGATTAATATTTTCCCTATTTTATGATAATAATATAGTAATCACATAGTGAATTAACTTTAAGAAACATGATTCCCGCACTTCTTTTTCATGTACGAACGACCATCTATTTAGTTATGTCATTTAATTATTTTTTAATTTATTCAATTGAATCAACTATAAGAAGAAAGAGAAGATCGAGAGAAACTTCCCTAACCCTAATCCCTCAACCAACAAAATGTAAGAAGCCAAATTCTACGGCATTCATTGAATTGATACAATATTGGGGAATATATCCATGGAAATCCTTCTGTGGCGAGGCTTCATTTTCCGAAGGCTCCAAGGCACACGGATTGGATTAGAGTGATTAATTCTGTCTAATAACAGAAAAATAAATAGGAGGAGGATCATTTCCGGATCCATTTTGTGGGGATCCTAGAGATCCTCACATCTTAGCTGTTAATCATACATCGTGTGGTCAGTTTTCATCATATACTATTTATGTTTAATTTTAAATAAAAAATGTCAAATGATTTCTGACTGCACAATACACGATAAATGATTAAGATCCCCCAAAGTGGATCCGGATGGGTTCCAATTTCAAGGAAATGTGGCTGCCTGTTGCATCTGACCAATTCCTTCAATTCCAATATTCGTAATTTCCACTAATTCACTTGGAGCCTTTCCTGCCAACTTCTTGTGATATATTTATGTATTGGAATTGACGACTCTTGAGAGAGTCAAAGAAAGCTATTGACTTTGACTCTTTTGGGGTCGTGGTTTTGATGTGTGACTAATGATCAAATAGTCACCGATCGTTTTATGGGGGACAAAATAAGGTTCAATTGTGGGGAGGGACCGGACCAAAACACCTCCCATGGATTGGTTGTTAGATGAACAATATTTGATTTGTAATCCTTGATGAATTTTCCTCAAGATTAATCAAACATATGACTCGTAATAAGGTCACGTTTTGCATGATCGTTTTGTAGGATAGAATATGCTCAATGAGATTCTAAAATCTTACAACGAATTCATATTTTTAGAGAAGCTAAAGGCTCATTTGAAAGTGATTTTAAAATGGTTAAAAGTATTTTTTATGAAAATAATTTTGGAACATTTCTTTAGTACAAATGCTAATGAATCCTGGAATAGTATTTGAAGCGCTTCCTACAAGAAGCAAATAAGAAAGCACTTTAAGTGATTTTGAAACCCAAAAGTATTTTCTCTAAAAACAATTTCAGTCATTTCAAAAGCACTTGATATAACAGATGATTTTGTTATATTAGAATATACTATAACCAGTCTTGTGTTTGATTTAGTAATTTTCTTCATGTAATAATTTAAGTCTGAAGTTATAATGTCTTTAAAGGAAAAACTACGCATTAATTTGATCTTGAAGGCATGTATGTACACATAAAATTGAATTTTGATTTAATATAAGGATTTGTTTTGGTCAAAGAAAATCACGAGATAAATGAAAGAAACATAATCTTCGCCAGAACCTAATTGAAATAATTTGTTGTGGCGGCCGCGGTAAGCAACACTCACAAGGGAGTGAGATCTCGTCAATGAGAATCTCACCCCCGCGAGTGTTCTCAGGCGGACGCACCAAAGAACTTCTCGTGAATGGGAGCCCATAGAAAATGAGCGAGCGTTACGTTAACCAAAACTCAATGGGCTGACTAGAGGTTGGACCTTACTTTGCTTTGTTGAACAAAAAAATATGAATCATGGGAGAATGTTGGCCCCGTATACTCAGGCAGCAAGCTATGCTCTACACATCTCCAGATATCAAAAATTTCTGCTGGTAGTCTTCAAAAAATCAAATCTTTGACACGGTTGCTCCGTGGCGTATCCTGCACAAGAAGAAGCTTAGAGTTATGGTTATGCCACACGAAATTGTTCGAGGGAGACAAACAAGCAAACGACTATGCCAGGTTTGCTGCTAGCAAAGACCTAAATCCATTATATTTAAGACCTGCTTTCACTTTTCAATCAGTGACGTAGAAATAGTCGTGAACATGCATGAGAAGGAGAAGGGGAAGGAGATTCTTACTAAACACCGAATATCCTCTTAATCGGCTAATGATGATTTTACCAGTGTTTGCGCTCTGTAAAAACTTGGGGAAAACGAAGTGTTAATATGTTTGTTGTCAAAAGGGCATCAAAACAAGCAAACAATCCCGGTAATATACATATATAACTGCAGAGGAATGTATTGTAGCAGGAATTTGCAAAGGGATTACACAATGCAGGAAACTAGGCTTAACTTCAACGATGTTAAATAAATGGTGCTGGCTGTGTGCAAGTGTAATTGTGTTGCCTATCAGGAATCACTTACATATTTATGTTAACCCGAAGCAGGGGCCACTCCCAAAGTAAAAGGTGCATTTGCCAAGAGACGGCTGAAAGAGTCAAATCAGATCATTTTGTCATCTCCTTGAGTCGTAAAGCTGACAAACAAAAATTCATCATTTAGACAGTTTACCTCTTATGCTCTACTTATAGCCTACTTGTAGCATCAAATGACGATAGCTACGGCCACGCATAAAACGCTGCCATTTATACTGTACAAATTTCGGGTAACTCATCTGCATCCTTTCTTGGACAAGCCTGAAATCAGATAACTACATAACTAACCAGATAGAGCTTCATGATCATTTTCTAGTACCTTCAGTCCAAGAAAAATAGCTCACCATCTTACAATACACCGCTGAATGCCTCTAGATATGGGGCGAATGATTGATGGATCCCGTTGAGCATACAACAAACCAACCTAAGAAATGATAACGCACGATCTTAATATTAATATTAATATTGCACTGCATTTCTATCTGCAAATGAAAGAAATTGAAGAGATATCTATCTACCTCCACCAATGCAACAGCAGAAGGATCGTCCATGATCTCAAGGCTACAATCAGCTAGATAATTAATCTGCACCCAAGTACATAGGAAAAAGTAAATAAAAAAGCATCCAGGAAGGAAAAGACAGATATAAGTTGATGCATTCTCCCACCCTAAACTAAGAAAACGTGTACTCTTTGTTTCTCCTGCCTATAGTGAATTGCAGAAAGAGTTCAAGGGGGCATACCATCAACCTCAAAGATATGAATATCTATCAAATGACCTATCAAGTGGGGGAGGGGAAAGTGCTTTAACGTTTAGACCAGCTACTTATTAGGCATCATTACTATTGTTATCAACGTTGTACAAAAGCATAGACTATAAAATATGTAAAAACAAATTTTTACTGGAAATATTCAGCTTTATTCCAAGTGCAGAACTAGTAATACTACCAAGTGTCAGAAACAAAAAAAGAAACCACAGACTACGTACTCCAAATTCTGTATTAATTAGAGACTGCACAAAATCCATCAGCTGAATCTTTGCCCATCCAAGGCACATGGTGGGATAATTTTTAGGTGGAGGATGTCTCCACGGTGCACCAAAGCGTAGTCTATCTTTTGAAAATTTTCCACTTCGTGCATCAGCAGCAAACTTTTGAAGGAGCCCCAATGCTTTCTCCATGGCCGGATTCACTACAGTAATCTAAATGAATAGACTTGAATAGCAAGTAAGGCAGCACAAATTGCATAAAGAATTATAAAATTACGAAAGAGGCATAACCACAGTTGTTAACAGGCCAAGTTAGTCGGTAAGACTAATGTATATACATCTAGGAAATCAAGAATACAATGAAGTGAACAGAAATTCCAAGAAGGTGAATTGCAAGTAATATATCATGAGACTTCCATACACTTATCAATGAACCAAAACGTAAATATGACAACAAAGGTTCACAAAATTACAAAGATAAATGAGTAAGATCATCATGCTCCAAAGAAACTTACTTGCAAGTAAGCTAAATATGAATCCACAATGTCTTCAAATGTGCTATCTTTGTTGTCTTCTAACCTTCATATAAACAAAAAGGGTATTTATATAGCATTAAAACTATATACAAATAAAGTAGTCATAAACCATGTAGCATCAATTCTGGAAAAAATTAGGCACAGGTTGATTGGTGAAGAAGACACATGATATGAGATGAGATGGTAAAAAACAAATATAAATATCACCCTTACAGTTGATAGTAATTGGCCTGTTTGAGTGCATAGAGCTCAAATAGGTGTCGTGGGTTTGGGCCAAACACCTCAGCAATCACCGACCACTGAATTTTGACAAAAATAATGCTAAAGGTCACTAAAATGTCCAGCAGTTCAAGACATAAAGAAAAAAAAAGTGCAAGAAAATGAAGAATCGTCAGGAAATCTGATGGACATAATTTCAGGATTAGTAGGTAAACAGATCGATTTTTATTTCCCCCTGCCCAATTTTACTACACTGGAAAGTATGTTTGTTCAAAATTAGAGAAGCGTATTACCTCTGAATTACTGAAATATTCAGTAACCATATGTAACTTAGCTTCCTGGGGACTCCAGCCAAAAGCCTGCAGAACAAACCAAGTATAAATCCATGATAACCTCCAGTATCCTCACAATATTCAAAACATGAACACGACATTTTAGAACAGGCCCCGAAATGACATGTCAGTCTAAGTTGATACCAGGAACAGTCACATGATAAGCCATTCCAGGCAAGAACACATTATGGGTTCATACCAGGCACAACATGTAGCAAAAACAAATTAAAAAAGAAAATCTCAAATCTAGTGAACCACGTCCCAAAATATAGAATTGAGCACGATACAAGTCACGGAACAAATGTTCCCATGCTTCATGCTTCAAGCTTAAGGTATTAGTATCTGCACAGCAGAAAAGAATAACTAGTGTTTGTTCCTTTTGGTCAATGAAGTAAAGGCAAATGCAAACACATGTAATGATCTTGTATAACCATGCATCTTTAGAGTAATACGGTTTCAGAGTCTCAGTTTAAGTACCTCACGAGAGATGAATATGTCTGGAAATCCAAAATCCATGTAAGCTAGGTATGAATAGTAACTGTAACAAAGCAACAGGAATTAGAATTCAAACAAACAAGAAAATAAACTGAAAAGAAGGCCACTGCAGAAGTTTAAAAGGTTAAATATTAACTTTGTGACATATAAATGTATAAGTGATATGATGTTAAAGAAACACAAACGGCTAGGAATGAATCTCACCTATCCGATGTCACGAGTACAACAGGAAAGCACCTCTCATTTGCACCTAAAGCAATTAGTCTCCATATTAGACTGTCGTGATACATGGATCCGCAGACTGATGAATTCTCATCCAACAGAATCGCATTCTTTAAAACTTCGACATTGTTAATAACCAGCTTAGGCTGCTCCATACAATAAGAAACATCACAATTAGAGATTCATAAAAACTCCATACACTAATCAAAACCACACAAAATTTCAGCAAATACTAAGCATGAGTATAAGCAACCAAAAATGTGAACTTTATGACCTGAAAATGATCAATTTCAGCTCCTTGTGACAACAACTCCATCAATAAACAAGGCCAATCAGTACATGAATTCGCTAAAGACCTTGAAAATCCACCAGTCCGATTCAAATGAGCAATGGCATTAGCCCTCCAACTTTGCTGCTGCTTAATCACCTCCTTTGCCAATCTCAATGCCACAACGGCCTCCCTATAATACGAAGCCTCTTCCAACGGCACATTCTTCTTCTTCTCAGTCAAACCCAAAATCCCATCAATCTCTTGGGCATCACATCGAGCACTTAGCGCGAACACCGCCCGATCCCACAAAACCGACCCGGAAGCTTTCTCAGAAACAGTGTTCTTAGCAGCCCCATTGCCGGCAATAACGTGGCGGAGAGCCGTGTTAAGACCGTGCCATTTGCTGAGAGTGGAGAAGATTTGATGGGAGCTGATGGAACCCAGCTGGACGCCCTTGTGAGCCATGGATTCGAGGCAGCTTTCGAGCTTGGTTCGGCAATTGGGTAAAGTGGTCGGCGGGCAATTGGACCAGGAAGCCCATGGAAACGACTGATTGAACTGCGGGTGGTGGTCCTTGATGGACTCGGCGAAGTCGACATAGCCGGTGAGGTGAGGGCCTTTGTTCCACTCCCCCAGCAGACCTGGAGAAAGACGAAGTGTTAGAATCTAGAGAGAGAGGTATGGAGAGAGAGAGAGAGTAGAAGGGTGATTACGTTCGAGGATGAGGGTGGTTTTGCCGGCGCCTCTGGGGCCGTGGAGGATCAGAGGCTGAGGCACGCGGTGGCGCTGGGCGTGGTTGTTGAGCACGGTTTCTAGCAATGGCCGGGGGATGATCTTCCATGGTTTGTACACCATTTTCTGAGATTTATGAAGCCTACTGACTGTGGTTCGTTTGTGGTGGAAAGAGAGAGGGGTATTAGGAGGGTTTTAGAGACCTAGGGTGACCCTCAGCAAGCTACCTAAAGAAATGTTTGTTCTTGGCCAAATTTTTTTGAAGAAAAACGATATCATTAACTTGGAAACGTTCCTTGGATGAGGAGATCCAGAATAACACTCTCCTCAATCCAAACTAAGCGAGTTCCACTAGACACTGCTACCTTTGCCAAACAATAGACAATACCATTATTGATAGAACTTGACTGGTGAAAGAATCAGCAGCACCCCTCACCAATTACGACTGGACATATATGCAAGTTATTGGTTTTTTCAGCAGCATCCCGCTGATCACCAATCACGGCTTAGACACGTGTCCAGCCGTGATTGGTGATCAGCAGGGCAAGTTGTGATTAAAAAATCAACAACTTGGATACGTGTCTAACCGTGATTGGTGATCAGCAGGATAAGTTGTGATTAAAAAATCAACAACTTGGATACGTGTCTAGCCAGCATCCAAGTCCCGTTCTACCATTATTATTCCTATAAATAGAAATAAACTCCAAAACAGTAAAAAAAGTTGCACTACGTAAGACATCTCCCGCTAGCAAGTCCATAGCTGAAACCCGATCCACACAAGAATTGACAATAGAAATTGCTTGAGAATAATCACTTTCGACTTGAACCTTTTGATAGCCAAGCTATTGAGCCAACTCCACTCCATGCTTAATTGCTAACAATTTAGCATGAAGAGCCAAGGAAACATTGGGAAGAAAGCATGCCATTACAGCCACAAAAGCACCTTGCGCGTCATGGATCACGGCACCAGCCCCACCCACCTGAGCCTGCAATTTTGTAGCTCCGTCCACATTCACTCTCACCCAATCTTCCACCACCTCTCCAGCCATCGAACCACTTCCATCCCCTTACCTAATTATCGGCGTCTGTTGCTGTACTATGAGTGCATGGTCTGCCACCGCTTGGAACTCTTGTAACCATGCCACGGCTCTTTGGGCCACAACTTCAGGGGTCTCTTGCTTCTCGTTCCAAATGCGATCATTCCTCACCTACCAAGTATGCCAGACCACCATACAAATGAAGTCGAAAGTAGATTGCTTAGTTTGTAACAACCATAAAAACCACTCCTTGACCGAACCACAAAGGACGAAGTTAACCAGAAAGATGCACGAGGTCACAACTCATGCAGCTCTAGCAAAATAACACTCCTTAAGAACATGCACCGCAGTCTCCGATGCTCAATTACAGAAAACACATGTCAAATCCGATGATACTCATTTCTTCGATAAGTTCTTTTTCGTTGGGAGAATATTCTGACAAGTTTTCCACACCATATTCCGCATTTTCGGCGGGACTTTGGCCTTCCATATAGTCTTCCATAAAGAAGTAAATAGACTACCTCCTGAAGCAGAAGAAGACACACTTAGTACCGATGGCTTAATAGAATCTCATGCAACCCAATACACACTATTAACAGTGAAAGTACCCCGGTCATTAGAATGCCAGATTGGTTTATCAGGCGGAAGCCGAAAACTAATGGGCAAAGCACGAATATGCTCCATGTCTTCCTCCTCAAAAAGCTCGATCAACATTGTGTCATTCCACGCCTTCTTGTCCACATCAATGAGCTCACAAACCTTCATATCCTCCTGAGAATGAGGTGACATCGTTATGGGACGAAAGGTCGAGGGTCGCGGCACCCACATATCCTTCCAAACCCACACCGAAGCTCCATCCCCAATCAACCATCTCGAACCCTTCTCCAACACCATTCTAGCTTTAAGTATACTAGAGCAACAATAGGAGGAAGACAAAGACACCGGGGCGTCCCAAAAGGAAGTATTGGGAAAATACTTAGCTTTTAACAACCTTGCCGTTAAAGAGTCTGGATGTTGAACTATCCACTAACCTTGTTTTGCTAGAACCGTCAAATTAAAAGCATAAAGATTCTGGAACCCCATACCACCTTCCAGTTTAGCAATGCACAATTTATCCCATGATTTCCAATTAATCTTCCTCGAGTTTAGGTTGCTACCCCACCAAAATCGAGCCATTAGCTTATGTAACTCATCACAAAAAGTCTTCGGAAGCAGAAAACAATTCATAGCATATGAAGACAACGCCTGAGCCACAACTTTCACAAGCAATTCATACCCTGCTCCACCTAAGCACTTCCCTTTCCACCCACTCAACCTTTTGTGAACCCGTTCTTTGATATAAGCAAAAGTTTGGCGTTTATTCTTCATCACAAACATAGGTAGGCCCAAATAACGTTCATGTCGTTCCACCAATTGGACCCCGAGAAAATTTGCAAGCCTTTGCTTCTCTTGGCCACACACGTTTGCACTGAACGTTATACTGTTTTTCCCCAAGTTTATTTCCTGCCCTGACGCTTAGGAGAAAACATCCAAAATATGTTGGACCTCAGCACATTCATCCAAATTAACTTTACCAAACAAGAAACTATCATCAGCAAACAATAAATGATGGATACTTAGCATAGCCTCACAAATCCTAATCCCACTAAGAACTCCCCTCTGTTCCTTATGCGCAATAAGTGCCGACAAACCCTCAATGCAAAGAAGGAATAAATAAGCAGATAACGGATCCCCCTGACGGAGACCACGGGACGACTGCACATACCCACAAGCTTCCCCATTAACCAAAAAGGAGTACGACATAAATATCACATACATCATCACCACTGACACCCATCTACTATCAAACCCCAACTTCAACATCATAGCTTCCATAAAGTCCTACTCCACCCTATTGTAGGCCTTACTAAGATCCAGTTTGAGAGCAAAAGAACATTCATGTCCCTACCGTTTATTATGTAGATAATGACCAATTTTCAACGCCACCAAAGTATTATCAGAAATCAAACGCCCTGGAATGAAAGCACTCTGATGCAGAGAAATTATTAAATTCAAAAATTTCTTCAAATGATTCGCAATCACCTTTGTTTCGATCTTATAAATGACATTACACAACTTATCGGACACAACTGTGACGTCTCCTGCGACTAATTCACCTTGGGAATTAAGACTACATGAGTGAAACACACATCCCGTAGCAATTTTCGAGATGTGAGAAAAGACCGAACAACATTCACCACATCATGACTTACAACATGCCAAAAATTTTGAAAAAATAGAGGTGACATACCGTCCGGTCCCGGGGTTTTGGACAAGTGCATCTGGAAGAGGGCAAACCGGATCTCCTTATTCGAGTAAGGCCCCAACAGTTCCTCATTCATTTCCGTAGTAACACGTCGTGAGCATGCCCCCAAAACCTCATGCACCGCACGGTCTAAAACACCCCGAGAATGAAAAATATTCTGAAAATAACCCATAGTCATGTATTCAATGCTAGCCCTCGAATCCTGCCAAACCCCATTCATATCCCACAACCCTTTAATATGATTTTTCCGTTTACGGTTTGACGAACATAAATGAAAAAACTTCATATTCTTATCCTTCTCTTGTAACCACTTGACCCATAACCGTTGTCTTCAATAAGTCTCATCCCTTCTAAGAAGTGAATCTGATCACCCCATCAATTCACCCATTGCTTCATGAACCTCAACTGAAATAGGGTGTTCAAACAACACCCCTAACTTATCCCGAACCTTCGCAATCTCAGCCTTCATAGAACCAAATACCTCATTTTTCCAAGCAAGCAAAGCACACCAGGTAAAACAAATCTTTTCACACACTTGGATAAGATGAAGGCCCACCACTAGTTTACTCCATGTCGAGCTAATAGTCTTTTCACAACTATCATCCCAGAGCCACATCTCATCAAACTGAAACCTTTTACACTTCCTCCTACTGGATGACTCTATTGAACTTCTAATCTCCACCAAAGTAGGGAGATAATCTGACTTAGAAGGATTAAGATGACACACCCTTGTCACCGGAAACAGATTAAGCCACCGTTGAGATGCGAAAACTCAGTCAAGCTTACATATAACTTCATCCTTCCTATTGTCTGTCTGTGTATACACGGTCCCTACAAAGCCAAGGTTAATCAATTGACATGTATGAATCGCCTTCTGGAACCATCCATTTGACTTTCACGATGTTGATTGCCACCTAACTACTCTCAGGATTTCGTTGAAGTCCCTCATACAAATCCACGGCAAAGAGCCTCGTTGACCCAAGGTCTTAAGTAATGACCATGATAGATGTCTAGTTACCTTAATCAGATTTCCATAAAAACTTGTTAACCTCCACTTCTGCTCCGCCCCTTCTACCCTACATTCCATATCTATATGGTTCACTGAAGAAGATAAAATCACAATCTCCACCTTGTCAATCCAAAATACAGTCAACCCCTATGCAAAAGATTTGTCAAAACCCAAACTACGCTGCTTCTATAAAATCATAGTCTCACTACAGTTTGTCTCACATAAGAAAACAACAAGATGATGATGTTGTTAGGTGAGCCCTAACAAGGCCTGAACTGTAACATTCCACATCGGCCAGGGGAATGGATCATGTAAGCCTTATATGTATATTCTTATCTCTACCTAGCACGAGGCCTTTTGGGAGCTTACTGGTTTCGGGTTCCATCAAAACTCTGAAGTTAAACGACTTCGCGCAAGAGCAATCCCATGATGGGTGACCCATTGGGAAGTTCTCGTGTAAGTTTCCAGAAACAAAACCATGATAGCGTGGTCGGGGCCTAAAGCAGATAATATCGTGTTACGTCGGAGTCGAGCCTGGATGTGGTGGGGGCCTGGGCCGGGATGTGACAATTTGGTATTAGAGCCAACCCATGCCCGGAAGTGTGCTGACGAGAACGTCGGGCCCCTAAGGGGGTGGATTGTAACATCCCACATCGCTCAAGGGAGTAGATCTTGTAAGCATTATATGTATATCTACCTAACACGAGGCATTTTGAGAGCTTACTGGCTTCAGGTTCCATCGGAACTCCGAAGTTAAGCAAGTTCACACGAGAGCAATCCCATGATGGGTAACCCACTGAGAAGTTCTCGTGTGAGTTCCCAAAAACAAAACTATGATGGCGTGGTTGGGGCTTAAAGTGGACAATATCGTGCTACGATGGAGTACAGCCCGAGATTTGGGGGGCCCAGGTCAGGATGTGACATGAACTGCACAATAATCCCCTAATCCTTAGCAATTCCAACATAAAGCATTCATTGTGAACTGCGTGTGTGCTCGCCAGCACCACCTACCGATGGACTAGAACATACTTTCTTCATAGGTACTGACTCCATAGTTCTAGCAGATGAG